TCCACGCAGTGGACTTGCGACACCGGCTACGGAGGGACCGCGGTGGGATCCTGAGGGGGTTTTTGGGCTTAGGGCTTTTTGGGGTTTAGGGTTTGGGGTTTAGGGAGTTGGGGGTTTAGGGTCTAGGCGCTCGGGCTTTTTGGGGTTTAGGGTTGAGGGTGTTGTGGGTTTCAGGTTTAGGGTTGTAGGGTTCGGGTTTAGTAGGGCTTTTTGGGGTTTAGCGTTCAATTCGGGTTTTAGGGTTTGGGTTTAGGGTGTAGTAGGCTGTTTTGGGGCTTAGGGTTTCAAGGGGTCAGGGTTTCCTTAGGGTTTCTGTTAAATGCAGCGCGTCTAATGCACACATAAATGAACTTCGATATGGTCATATTGATAATATATGGGAGAATGTGACAATGCAGTACGTCTACGGTTTCTGTTTTAAGACATACACGCATTCAATGAATGTACAAATAAAAATAAGCAAATAAATAAAAATGCATATATATATATATAAGTTCCCCCCCCCCTGGGAATGGCTCTGACACGCTGAGGCTGAGCCACCAAGTTGACCAGTTCTCGCAGTTGCGCACCCTTTTTTGGGGGGGTCCCTGTTCTTTAGGGTTTGGGGTTGGGTTTAGGGTTTAGGGTTAGGGTCAGGGTTTAGGATCATATTTCGAAATATCTTTGCCCTAAACCCCTCAGCCCGAAACACCTAAAGGATCTGAGAATGGTTACCCAGAGGCTCCAAAACCCCTTCATGAAGGAATATCCCTTCTTGTTAATGGGAACCCGGAACCCTAAACCCTAAACCCCGAACCCCGAACCCCGAACCCCGAACCCCAAACCCCAAACCCTAAACCCTAAACCCTTAACTAAGGGGTTTGGGTGTCTGGGATAGGTGGAGAGCTGCCCCATCAACATGCAAGACAACTGCAGCAGCGTTACGCAGCTGACAGGCCCGTTTACTTGAGGGGTTCGGGATATTTGGGGTTTGGGGTTTGGGGTTTGGGGTTTGGGGTTTGGGGTTTAGGGTTTAGGGATATCTAGGGTTTAGGGTTTAGGGATATCTAGGGTTTAGGGTTTAGGGTTTCGTTCACCTTCACTTTCCCTCAGAAACTCGATATGGGGTGTCATACCAAGAGCCTACCAAACAGCGGGTTCTTTGGGGCAGGGTGTTCAGAGCTCATGGTTCAGGGGTTTTTTCAACTACCCCCACCCTCCTATAGGGTCTTTTAGGGTTTAGGGTTTTGGGTTTAGGGTTTTAGGGTTTAGGGCTACTGCCCCCCCTCTATGCTACCCCCTGGGTCCCCCCCCACCCCCCCCCCCACCACAATTAAGGTTACTTAAGGAAAATTAAGCTTATTTAAGTGGGGAACCTAGGGGGGTAGTACAGAGAGGTTTTGGGGTTTAGGGTTTAGGGTAGTAGGGAACCCATGAATGGTGTGGGGCTGCGTTGGGCGGATCCGTTGAGGGTTTTGTTGTTTTGGGGGCTCCCTGTCCGGTGGTTTAGGGTTCATGGGAGTGAGCGAGAGAGGGCTTCAACCCTAAACCCTAAACCCTAAACCCTAAACCCTAAACCCTAAACCCTAAACCCTAAACCCTAAACCCTAAAACCCTAAACCCTAAAACCCTCAACCCTTGAACCCCTAAACCCTAAACCCCCTCTCAGGCTGCCTTCCCGTGGTCGGCTGCGTCAAGCCGTCAGCAGACGAGTGCGTGGCTTGGTCGCGAGCGTCGGTAAGATTTGACGAACACCGAAGGTTTGTTGTGGGATCCCGGAAGCCCACAGGTTTAGGGTTTAAAGTGGTTTAGGGTTTAGGGTTTAGGGTTTAGGGTTTGGAGTCCTAAACCCTGAACCCTGCACCCTCGACCCGCCTCCCAGATTTTCCATGGCCTCAATCAGAATCCATCCTCGCAAGATCCAGAAAGGAGGGGTTTAGAGTTTAAAGTTTCGGACTTTGAGGCTAGTTGTTAGGATACTTCACAACCGAGAAAACCGGAGGTATCACATCGAAGCCTCCCATGATCGTGGCGGAGACTGCGAGGGCAATCGTTAGGGAGCTCGAGAGGGACATCGAGCTAGCGCCAGGGGCCGTTGTCATCACTACCGCCAACATCATGGTAGAGGCCTGTGGTTACCTCGTCTCACACTACGAGGGCATCGGTGATGGCCTCAGAAAGAAGGGGCGGTCGGTCACCATCAAGAAGCATGATGGATTGATTTACGTTGCCTTGTCCTTGTCCTCAGCTGCCGACCAAGTATCCACTTGGATTCTTTCAAGCAACGCACCAGGAACTTGCTCGGATTGTCATCGCACTTCTTGTACACAATGTTCAGAGTTGGAAGTAATTACACGATCCTATCCCTAAACCCTAAACTTAAACCCAAAACCCTGAACCCTTAAGACCCTTGCCGCATACAGACCCTTGCCGCGCATGACTCATCTCGTAGCACGTGCTCCTGGGTCTACTGCGCGCCTAGTCAAGACTAGGATGCCCAGTAGTACCCCCCAGTCCCTGTTTGGGTTTAGGGTTTAGGGTTTCGGGTTTAGGGTTTCGGGTTTAGGGTATCGGGTTTAGGGTTTCGGGTTTAGGGTGTAGGGCTTCGGGTTTAGTTTAAGGGTTAGTCCCCTATAAGCCCCTGTAAGCAAAATCTATGGCACGTTGCTGGGCAACCGAGAAGGGCTTTGCCATGTGTGAGTTGGCGATGCTTTCAGGATAGGATTGGGGTGTTGAGATGCTCTTGGTTAGGGGGCCATGAAGCACCGAACCCCAACACCCTAAACCCTAAACCAAAAACCCTCAGACCCGAAACCCTAAACCATCAACCCTGAACCCTGAACCCGAAACCCTAAACCCTGAACCCTGATGTAGGGTTTCACGTGGCCGCGACAGGTTTACGACACCTCCGACTGCGACAATCTTGGGCTCTGGGCCCGGCAAGAAGGAAAGTCAGGGCTTAGGGTTTAGGGTTTAGGGTTTGGGGTTTAGGGTTTAGGGTTTGGGGTTTAGGGTTTAGGGTTTAGGGTTTAGGGTTTAGGGCCGCTTTGAGAATGACCCGACACACTAACCCCCTAAACCACCGTTCGGGTTTAGGGTTGAGGGTGTAGGGCACCCGGCCAAAACCCCTTCCTCTCAACCGTTTGAAGGCTAAACTCGTAACCTCTCAAACCCTCTTACGACCCCTAAAACCCTAAACCCCAAACCCTAAAACCTAAACCCTAACCCCTAAACCTTAAACCATAAACCCTAAACCACGACCCCTAAAAGGTTTGCCACGGCTCAACAACAGCGAATTCACCACACACCTCCAACATTCCAAGACCTTTCATCTGCTGAAGTCCTGATAATCCCAAACCACCAAACCCGAAGCCCTAAACCCTAAAAACGAAACCCTAAACCCTAAACCTTAGCCCTAAACCCATAAACCCATAAACCCATAAACCCATAAACCCATAAACCCATAAACCCATAAACCCATAAACCCATAAACCCATAAACCCATAAACCCATAAACCCATAAACCCATAAACCCCTAAACCCTAAACCCTAAACCCTAAACCCTAAACCCTCACCCTAAACCTCTATAGAAAAGGGGGCCGGATCGATCCGCAAGTCCTGAGGCCGGGTGAAGTGTGCGTCCTGCCGGGAGCCTCGTGTGCGGAGTGTTCAGGGTTTAGGGTTTAGGCTTCTAAATCGTGGCACATATATATATATATATATATGTATGTATGTCCATATATTATAAAAAACATATATATATATATATATCTCTCCCCAAAAACGGCCCATTGTCAAGAGAATCCCGTTTTGTCCTGAAGTTCGGGTTTTCGGGCTTTGGGTTCGAGGATGTGGGGCTTTGAAGGATTCCTGGGGAAGGGCTTTGACGACGTGTGGCTTTGCGGTTTGGATTTTGCGGTTTGGATTGGAGGTCAGGGTGCGGTCTGGATTGGAGGTCAGGGTTTAGGGTTTAGGGTTTAGGATTCAAGGTTTAGGGTTTAGGGTTCAGGGATGGATTAAGGGCTTTCGGCCCTGGAAAATCCTAAGCACGAAATCGCTTGCGTCCGGGCGTGTTGCGGAGACAAAGGAGTGTCACGTCCTGATTCAAGGGGGTTAGGGTTGAGGGTTGAGGGTTTAGGGTCTAGGGTTTAGGATGTGCGTAGGGTTTAGGGTTCAGGGTTTAGGGTTTAGGGTTTACGTAGGGTTTAGGGTTTAGGGTTTAGGTTTAGGGTTTAGGGTTCAGGGTTCAGGGTTTAGGGTTCAGGGTTTGGGGTTTGGGGCTTGGGGTTTTGGGGCTTAGGGTTTGTCAGGTTTGGGCCGAGTCGGGTTTGGGGCGAACGGTCCCTGACGGTGTTGAGAGCCGCGGCCCGTCTGCACAGGAGCCTACATAGCCATAAAGATCTTACCCTGGTTATCCCGAGATATGCCTAGAAGATCAATTTCCCCAAACACACATCATACCCATTCTATCAAGTTACCCTCTATAAGAGCAGGGTTCAGGTTTTTGCGGGTTGTAAAGTCAAGCAAGCTCTCGGCGCAAGGGCCTCAAGCTTTCTGATTTTTGTTGCTGCAATGAGGTTTCGGGTTACCGCGCATGCTCTTGGGAGGGTTTAGGGCTGAGGCAGGGCTTATAGAGGCCTGCACGCCAGGCGGTGCACAACGAACTACGACGGCACGCCCACGGGAGGCGCCATTCCCGACTGTTCGCTAGGGTGAGTAAGGGTTTCTGGATTCGGAGGTTAGGGTTATCATAGGGCCTTGTCTCCAAGAAAGGGAACAAACCTCGGAAACCTCCGTGTGGATCGTCGAGTCGTATCGGCATCCAACGGCGGTTTTCAACCAGGCTCCAAGACCCCAACCCCTTTCACTTCTCTCCCTCCTGGTCCAGAGTAGAATCCGAAGCCCCCCAGGCCCTCAAAAAGCACTGTTCAGATGCAGACTTTGAGCCCCCTAAGCCTTGAGCCAAAGTGCGCAGCTTGGCAGCTCGAAAGGTCTGAAACGAGACAAGCCTCCACAGAGCCATGGCCACGCAAGAATATGAGGAGTCAGTGGAGGCAGGGCCATCTTCCGTTGCAGGTCCGAATCCCAAGCAGCTCAAGAAGCCCAAGTACCGAGCAAGCCAGTTGAGGAGACAGTCAAAAAGGCCCTTTAAGTGGCAGCGACAGGGTCAGGCCTATGACCTGGAGAAGGTGAGCCACAAGCAGGAAGGTCTCCAGCTGAGTGGCAGTAAGGGGCAGCCTGAAGCCTTGCCCAGGCAGCCACCGCCGCCGCCGCCACCGCCTCGTCGACCAAACGCCGGTCAGACTAGTGTTACCAAGGGCTCCTCTGTGCAGATCCCAGGACTTGGTGAGAGTCGGAAGCGTAAAACGCCGCCGCCACCGCCACCGCCTCCACGGCGGCCCCAGGTGGCTAAGGCAGCTTCCCAAGGGAGCGCCAGCTATCATCAGTCCCCGCAGTGAGGTCCCCTCCTGTGGGGATTGATTGAGGAGGGTGGGGGAAAGGGGTCTTGTCAAGTCTCCTCTCTCCTCCGTTCTTTACTTTTTATAGCCCAGCAAAGCCTGAGGACAGGACAAAGATTTTGCGCGCAAGCAGAAATCAGAAATATCCGGCAAGCCACGGGCCATGGCGTATCTTGATCGAAAGCAGCCCCGAAGCCTGAGCCCTGTAGACTGTAGAGTCCCAGAGGTGTCAAGTTGCAGGGGTTTCAGGATGCAAAGAAGGTAAGGCTGTGGAAATCAAAGTGCAGTGCCTTAGGGCTGCTGGGTGTTGGAAGCCAGCGCGTTCGTCGCAGGTCACCATTGCGACGAAAAGATGACTGAACCTCTGTGCTGAGCTAACTCCGTATGGCAAACCCCTGAACTCTCAAACTGCGGAGCTGTAGAATCACGGCGCCCCCGCCCAAGCCCAATATATAGGTAGCCCAAACCTCGTCTTGTCGCCAGGCATTTGCCAAGCGTCGAACACGAACCCGAACCGGCTGGTGGTGCGCTTTGCGCCGTCTTGGGGTCGCGGGCCCTGGGTCGATCTGAAACCCTACACGCCTGAGCCCTTGCTAGAATCCTATAGCTAAAGGGCCAGCCCTGGTCCCTATATAGCTCCACTGACCCATCCAGATTTGATATCTTTCGGGGCCCCAAACCGGATAGGTCACACGCACGCCTAGGCTTGTGGCGTTTCAGGGCATCTCTCCAGCGCTAATTTCCCACCATCCCAGTGCTTTTAAATTGGTTGCACGCAATAGTTGCCGAACCTTGGGCATGCGTGGCGTGAGGTCCTGCTTCTTGGATAGCAAGGGTGGGGTGTGTTTGGTGTTCATTCAGCTCATCCGACACTGTATTGTGTTGGCTAATATTGCCAAGTCCCGAAAGCTTCAACACCAGAACCTCAAGCGCCTGAACCCTCAGCCTAAAGTCTCCTGCGCCCTACACCCGTGCTTGAACGACCCCAAAGACCTACCCCACCCTGTCCCAACTCACTGTTCAACTCACCCCAAGCCAGGAGTGGCAGAGGCCGCGTTGCAGGCTGGGAGACTGTGCCAGAGCTCCGGACTTCTCCTCAGGGATTCGAGGTTCGTCATCTTGCTTCGGATACTTTCTTGAGTGCCTTTCAGGCGGCAGAGTCAATTCAGCCGAAGAGGGCATCTCACATGTTCAGTGGAGTGTAGCCACTCAGCCCTGCATAGCTAGGGGCCTCCTTCATTACAGGAGGGTAGGGATGGATGTTATATTCCCGGAAGTGGATCTTCAAAGTCCTTCACTGAAACTTACGTCGTCGAGGCAAAGCGTGGCCACCAGCTTAGGGTTGGGTGCTTTATCGCAGAGGATCTTCGTGAGGGGTTCTTTAACCTTAACATTGCCAACAGCCCAACCCTCCTGCTTGAACCTCTTGAGCCGCTGAACCCTCAGCCCTAAACCCCGTTGGCAAACCCTGAACTTTGCAGGTTAGTCTGCCCAGACCCAGTGCCGATGCCGCGGGGATACATCCGTGAGAATGTGGCCCGGCGCGAGCTGCGGTCGCTGGTTCAGGGTTTCGGGTTCAGGGTCTACGGGTTACGGATCCCAAAGGAAGGGCAAAGCATGAAGGTTCTCTAGGGTAAGGGGAGTAAGTAGAGGACATTTTATGGATTTTGTGTTGTTTTGGTAGTTTAGGTTCATAGGGCTGGTCCCTATTTTCGTACGACAATTTACACGCAGAATATCCAAAAAGGTCTAGCGTTTAGTACTTAGGGTTTAGGGTCTGGGTTTTAGACATATCTTCAAGTACTGGCCATCTGCAGCTTGGGGATATGGGGCTTAACGAGATTGACACATCGGTGTCGGTCTCAGGGGTAGAGTAACCCATGTATACCAGTAACAAGTGAAGCTTAGGGTTTAGGGTTTAGGGTCTTAGTTTGGGCGGGGCGTTTGCCTGCCTCAGGCGTATATTGTTCTACTCTTGCTTGAGTTGCTTGCTTTTCGGTTACTTAGAGCTCTTTCAACGTGCTGTTTGTTGGGGTATATCATCCCATCTTCAACATGTCACAGCTGCACTCGTGTCAAGGAGGGGCACCCGGGATTTTGGGAGATTGCTTCAAGCTGGGGTGGGGTGGAGGGGGGACTTTGTCAGAAAGTTTGTTTGTCCAAGCTGCTCAGAAAACGATCCTGAGTCAGAGCAGCGGATATTCTGGGGGGGGGGAGGGGGGGGGGGGGGGCTGCTCGAAGCCTCAATCCGCGGATCCTGGGCTTGCAGGATGCGTGCCCAACACCAGCCTGAAAGAAAACCCAGGTCACGAACAACTTGCAGTGCGCCGGCGCCCGAGGTTTGAGTGTTCAGGGGGGCTTGCGGTGCAGGGCTTAGGGTTTGTAGGGTTTGGGGTTGGGGGTTCGGGGTTTATAAGGGTTCAATTTAAGTGGGTCCCCTTTTTCAAGGCTTATCTCCATGACCGCCGGCGCTAATTCTTCGAGTGCTCCAGGGACTCCAGATCCTGATGCCATGCTTGGCCATGCTGCAGCAGGAGACGTTTCCCAGGGTTTAGGGTTTAGGGTTTAGGGTTTAGGGTTTAGGGTTTAGGGTTTAGGGTTTAGGGTTTAAGGGTTAAGGTTTAGGGTTTAGGGAGACGTTTCCCGCCCTAACTTTTCAATCCTGAAACCCTAAACTCGGCGTTCTCGGGGTTTGGGGGTTTTATGGCTTAGGGCTTAGTAACTTAAGGTTGGCGGCGTAGGGTTTAGGGTTGGGGAGGGTGGCTGGTAGTATGTGTTGCTGGTGTCCAAAAAGCCCTCGAAGCCCTTGTGAAAAGCGCTAAGCCTCAAGTCTTCCACCCTAAACCCTAAACCCTAAACCCTAAACCCTAAACCCTAAACCCTAAACCCTAAACCCTAAACCCTAAACCCTAAACCCTAAACCCCAAGATCTCATGCCTTAGCCTCATTCTATAAAACCTCTGAATCCTGAAGCGCCCCAAACCCTAAACCTTAAACCCTAAACGGTCGCAACGACTGCTCTCACAAACCCTATATAATTCTCAAACCCTATTAAAAAAAAAAAACAACCTAAACCCAAAACCCCAAGCCCTAAACCCTTAACCCTAAGCCCTAAGCCCTAACCCTAAGCCCTAAACCCATAACCCGAAACCCCAAACCCCAAACCCCAAGCCCTAAACCCTAAACCCTAAACCCTAAACCCCAAACCCTAAACCCTAAACCCTAAACCCTAAACCCTAAACCCTCTGAATGCCTTGGACCCTGAGGCTCCTGGGTGGTTTGGAAGCGCGAGTAGGGGCGCTCGGACTGGCTGCGGGAGTTCAGGAGTTTAGGAGGCCAGGGGTTGAGGGTTTAGAGTAGTTTGGGGTTCAAGGTTTAGGGTTTAAGGTTTAGGTTTTAGGAGTTTAGGAGGCTAGGGGTTTAGGGTTTAGAGTAGTTTAGGAGTTTAGGGTTTAAGGGTCTAGGGTTCAGGGGTTAGGGTTTAAGGTTTAGGAGTTTGGGAGTTTAGGAGTTTAGGAGTTTAGGAGTTTAGGAGTTTAGGAGTTTAGGAGTTTAGGAGTTTAGGAGTTTAGGAGTTTAGGAGTTTAGGAGTTTAGGAGTTTAGGAGTTTAGGAGTTTAGGGTTCGGGTTCTGGGTTGCCTATATTCGGTAGGTAACCCGAAAAGTATGTACTTTTTTTATCCCTGGGCCACTGAACACCTAAGTTAACCCCTGAACCCCAGACGCTCTTAAACCAGATATGGCCCTTAGGCTCCCCAACCCCAAGGGTACAACCTTAGGGGAAGGTTTAGGAGCTTAGGGTTTATGAGCGTCCAGTGTTTGGGAGTAGTTTAGGGTTTAGGGTTTAGGGTTTAGGGTTTAGGGTTTAGGGTTTAGGGTTTAGGGAATTGGGGTTTGGGAATTCAAGGTTTAAGAACTTCAGGGGTTGGGGGCTTGCCGGGCCCCCGGCCATGGTCGAGTGTTTTGACGACTCCGCGGCAGGACAGGGTCACCCCTAAAACCCTAGCCCTAAACCCTAAACCCTAAACCCTAAACCCGAAACCCTAAACCCTAAACCCTACAACCTAAACCCTAAACACTAAACACTAAACACTGCACGAAGTGAAGTCTGACCGAGCTGACCCCCCTGGACCCGTAGGCCCCTAGGCACTCAGGCCGACCCTAACCCGTGAACCCTAAGCTGCTACTTGCTTAAGAAGCCCAAAAGAGAAATGCTAATCCCTATATGACCCTTCATAAGGAAGAATGTTTTTAGATTTTCGGGGCTGCAATTAGGAAGCTATAGGGTTTTTTAGGGCTTTAGCCGCTTCCCCCCTTGTATTAAACGCCGGGGCGTTGTTTTTCTTAAACCCGTGCGCCTGATTGTAAAAAACACTTTCGGGAAATCCTGCCGAAACCTCCCCGCCTTTTCAACGCGGGGCGGGGGGGGGGGGGGCTTCAGAGCCTCAACAACCTTCAAGCCAATCTATACCCTATCCGCATATGGATAGAAGCATCCCTCTGATACTAAAAACACATTTCGAGTTTCTAGTGGTGGAGGGGGAGGAGGTCGGCCCCCCGTTGAAAAATAGGGGGGAAGGGATTAGGGTTGTTAGGAGTTTTAGGGCTTTGGGGCTTTTTCTTCTAGGCTTTTTAGGTTCAGGGTTTCAGGGTGCAGGGTTCGGTTTTTCCCCAAATCTCTAAACCTTGGACCCTAAACCCTAAACCCTAAACCCTAAACCCTAAACCCTAAACCCTAAACCCTAAACCATAACCCTGAACTGTGCCGAGGTTCCTACTGCACCCGATTGTTCCCAGGCCGTGGGAAGGGCGGCCAGGGCTCAGAAGGAGGGTTTGGGGTTTGGGGTTTGGGGTTTGGGGTTTGGGGTTTGGGGTTTTGGGTTTAGGGTTTAGGGTTTAGGGTAGGGTGGGGTGCGGGGGGGGATTTGCGGGTGTAGTGGTTTCGGAGGTTACGGTTTTGGGGGGTTTCGCCTGGGGTGTAGGTTCAGGGTTCAGGAGGA